GGGTTAGAGTGTAATGAATAAAACCCTACAGCACGTGCTTGACATGGCTTACACGACTTCTAAAAAGGGGTGTCGTTCCTAATCATATCATATATTTAGGAAATAAACTCTTAACATTAGGATAATAGATATAAATAAAAAACAGTTTGGAATTTAAACCGAAGAGTTGACTAGCCTTGGGAAGGGAATAATTACTCTTGGAGTAAGCGGATTGCGATCCGCTAACTCATACATGTTTCTTGTAAAGAACGAAAGGTCGGTGACCTAAAGTACGCCTCCTCAAGCGTTTTGCTACGGCAGCCCCGCTGTATTTGGTAGCACTTGTAGTCAATCTACACCTGAGTCGTTTAGACTGATCTTCTGTGAGGATGGAGGAATTTTCCTCTTGCCCCAGGGCATGCAGGATGGGCTTAACAAGCGATGTCCTTGCTTGGCCCTGAGGGCGTGCAACATCTTGTAGCACAAGGCCCCGAGGCAATCGGTGCGCGTCTAGAGGCGTTTTCGAGTTACGAAGACGCGCTGCTAGAGCACCTGCAGCAGAAGATGTCTGCATCGTTTGCGTCTATGACGCCACCGTCGGTGACGGATGACTTCCTCCGCCCTAAGCCGCTCATGGTAAGCGTTAAGGTCTTTGAGGGGAAGGATAGAGAGAATCTCCTGCTTTGGGCGAGAGAGGTCAAGATGGCCATCGCATCCATCATGCTCCAGACCGAGCAGCAGCGCGTGGCGCTAGCCATCTCAAAGCTCGGTGGTCGAACGCGAGAATGGGCACTGACGTGCGGCCCTTCGGGCGGAGCTGCGTTTCCCTCCTGGGCGGAGCTGAGATTGCAACTCTCCCGAGTGTTCTCGCCGCCTAATCAGGCGTATCGCGTGCGATCGCGCTTCCTTGCCATCCGACAGGGCAACAAGGAATTGGTGGACTTTGTCCAACAGTTGCGAACTCTCATTGCCGGGATGGCAGCAGATCCTCTCCCGGAGGCGATCACAGTGACCGTCTTTATGGAAGGCCTCCGCACTGGGCGTGGCCAGAGTGGAAGTCTTCCGTGTGCTT